ACTTAATGACCGCATTCTTGGATTCCCGCTCACGACCCTCATTGTCAATTATATATATCACAAGCATTGCAAATCATCGACAAGCTCTCCCCATCTAACCTCTTCGCGCATTTCACCCTGGAACAGAGCAATCTCTCTCGCCGTGCCCTTATTCACCACGACCAACAAATATACACCCTATTCTGATGGGTCCATATCGCATCTATTTACGCACTTTGGGGCGCTGGCTATTCCCATTCTCTGTCTCTACAGTCCCACCTTCCATTTTCTTTTGCTGGGGTACCCTGCTGTTATACGGCGGGCAGCACCTGCTTTACAATATGCAAACGTTCTTTGGTGCTCCGGTCCTATAACATATTATTAACGACATCTTTCTTTCCGCATCCATTCGCAATTTGATTTCTATGGACATTTGAATGCAGTTTCTTCCAACTTCCGTTTCAATCTGTGACCAAAATAATAATGAAACCCATGCTTTGGTTAGTTATTCGATCTCCCGACCTGACGTGTAGGTTCGATCTGATTGCTCGATAGCTAACTGATACATCATATACCGTATGTTCATCTCTATAGTACTATGTTAAACTATTTCAGTCAGAAGCTTTGAGAAATCCAAGTGGTGTGTTTGACACAGCAATCTCGACGCGCTTCAATGGGAAATTCCTCGGAATCAGTTCGAATCATCCGACTACCGTATTGGTCCAGTGCTCTAAACTTTCTCCTAACCACTACCTTGCAACACCACTGCCTCTTACGATGTCGAGACCTGATAAAGCGACACTTGAACGTCATTCAAGAACTCTCAAAGAGTTGGTTAAGCGACCAGAGAACAGGATTTGTGCGGATTGCAAGCGGAATGGTAAGCACGTATTCTTGCCAGTTGGAAGCATCGGGCTCAACTGTAGCTCTCTACAGATCCTCGATGGGCTTCATGGAATCTGTACGTGATATTTAGACTGCTTGCGATGTATCTAAAGGTCCCGCAGAGGTGTATTCGTCTGCATTCGCTGCTCCGGCATCCATCGGAGCATGGGCACCCATATTTCCAAAGTCAAGTCTGTAGATCTCGACGTTTGGACGGCTGAGCAGATGGAGGTGAGCAGCAATACAACCGTCTGGTCCGCCTCGGAAACTGACTTGAGTTCAATCGTAGTCCATCCAGAGGTGGGGAAATCGTCGAGCCAACATTTACTGGGAGGCTCATCTGAAGCCTGGCCATAACCCTCCCGAGCAGTACGTGTCAATGATATCCATTGATTCAAATTACTCAATGAAAGATAGTAAAATCGAGTCTTTCATTCGGTCCAAGTACGAATCCCGAAGGTGGGCTATGGAAGGGCCACCTCCATCTGACCCGGCGACTCTTGAGCAAGGAACCGAAGCCCAACAGTCTGCTCCTGTAGCACAAACACAAGCAGCGCCTGCACCAATATCAACGCCCACGCACGCACAGTCTGCATCGAGAAGCTCGACAGGTCGCCAGCCCCAGCAGCATCAATTGCTGTCAAGTGCATACACGAGGACTGCTGGAGCCGTGCCCGCCCTGGCCTCGCCAGCGGTAGCACCTCCGCCCGTCCAATCGCAACCTGCAGCTCAGCCACCACAATCTACCCAGGGCGATCTGTTTTCACTCGATTTTCATGCACCACCAGCCTACGCAACTTCCCAGCAACAGCAGGAACAACCCAAGAAGGATGTGAAACAGGATATTATGTCCTTGTTCTCTGCTACCCCTGCCACAACCCCTGCCACTGCTGGCTTCGGAAATGCTGGCTTCGGACAATTCTCCGCGCCTTCTACTGCCGCGTGGGGAGGTTTCCCAGCACAAGCTCAACCCCAAGTTCAACAGCAACAGACCAGCATGATTGGCAATGGCGGTGTTGGCGCTTGGGGAGCCAGCTCTGGATGGAATGCAGCTCCGATTGCACCGCCCAACCAACCTAATGTCTGGGCGACTCCCGGTAATCCATCTCAGTCACAATCTGCGCTGTTCAATACGAGCGATATCTGGGGTTCGTCTTCGACTACGACTACCGCTTCCGCTGCTCCAGCAGCAGCAGCACCAGCGAAGAAAGACGACGTTTTCGGAGATCTTTGGGGAGGATTCAAGTAATTATTGCTGAAGGGTAAGCTATATAACGCCTTTTCTTATCGAAAATATAAGCTTACCCGGTTGTTACAGGAAGACGGAGCAGGTCGAGGATTGACAGCCATAGATTTTCACCTTAATTTAATGCATTGTTATATCCGGCTCTGTCGTTCATAGCTTGCTCATCTGAGCTGTTGCGATGATGCGATACAGATTTCGATTCACCTTAGTTCCGCCTGCGTTGCGCAAGATATGAGAGGTCTGTATCTTCCTGCAACTGTGAAGTCGACATTCCGTGCTGATTTCCATTTATTCCGACTAGGGTGATGACAAGCTAAGTGCCTAAGATAACGCAAGACAGGAGAAATTACTCCCTTGACACCGGCTTGAAATCCCTGCTTTGGGATTGTCAAGGTTTCAACCACTTCTTGTCTTTCTGTGCTTCAGCGATCTCATCAAAATCACCACCAGTTTGTTTGCACTTAATTCATTTTTATCCTATTTGGATAGATGATAACGCAAGAGGCGTTGGCCTTTCGTCAACACTTTACTAACCCTACCCATTATGAGTCCTTGAAGGCGTACATGTCCCTGTGTACGACAATCGGATTGTGGCATCCACCGCTTCACAACGCTTTCTAACACCGGATTAAGCGGAAATCTTGCCGCGATTCCAATTGGGCTGCCTTTTGTGAAGGTTATGCTAACCTTGATAGGTACAGTTACGCAGCTCCTGATTGGAGCTTAGGAGTTTAGTCCTTTCCGCTGATAGATCGATTTTTACCACTCAAGGTATGCTTAGTGGTACTCCCATCGCCGGTTAGGCCTTAGGGACGCAAACACGCATTACTGCTTTCAGTATGTGTGTCCTCAATTTATTCCAGAAAATCAAGGTAAGTGTATGTACACATCGTTACCTGTGCGCATGACTTAACTCAATGCCTCGCCAGCAATTAGCTTGGGCAAGGTGACAGTATGGCCGGATGTCGCGCACTTTTTTCTGTAAACGATTCTCAACTTAGCATACTTACTCCACCCACACCCGTGGCCACAGGGTTCCCTGCAATTACATGAATATCATTTTTATGGATGCGGATACATCAGAAACGCCGGCAGGGAGAAACGCAGCGTATTCGGCCGTTGGAGCGATGAAGTTTTGCATAGCCTACATGGTATGCGCTCCTAGTGCTTTCTTCCATTGTACTCGTCTCACTTCTGTTGTATGTAGGCAATGTCATTGTCGTCTTTATTGCTACACGCCTTCACAATTGGCTCACTCCAGCCTTGGCGGGTTGGGGGCGTCCTGTTGAACAGAATCTTACATGCCCTGTGCCTGTGCTCGAATGGAACCGGCGGCGGAGAAACAATAATGATAACGGTGTGTACATAATTTATTCTCGATTCAACAGATTTAAAGATATGTGGCTGTTGATTTCCGAGCACGGACTGGTTCCCAACGACCCGCCTGTGGCTTCCTTGATGGATGTACTTACTTATTCATCCTGACACTGGCGTAAGCGGCAATCACACACGGAAAACAGGAAACCCTCCCAGACACCCCTCTTCGTTTGCATCCATTGAAATGTATATTTCGCCGCTGTGAGTTGACGCTTTCTTGGAGACAGGACACATGCCACGCAACAGCGCCAGCTTCACAATTTCACGGCACTGCTCAAAAGCGTTGGCTTTATTCGAGTCTAGACCTTCGCCAGGCTTCCGTAGGTGTACTGTATGCATACGTGGGGGATACGCGAGCAGTCGGAATCAACACTTTTGGCGGCCGCATATGGAAAGCGCTGAGCGCGGTGTCCCCGACCAGTATCAGTATTCAAACTCCCGTAAACCCCGAATATGAGGGAGCACATTCAACGTGTCTATGATTACATACCTCAAAGGTGCTTCCGAACTATTTACGTGATATTGTGGGCAACTCTGTTTCCTTTCTGCTGAATGAGGTGCATCAGGTGAACGGAATCCAAGTTGGTGGAAGCGGGAGAGCCGAGCTCCAGGTGCTACTTGGTTGAGTTAACAAACGTACCATACGCTCCGAAGTTGTGCTCCACACATCGCTTTTCCTCAATGCAACGAATTACTCTCCTAGGAAACAATGGGAAAACCCCAAGGCAAGCCCTCCGACCCGTCGAAGCTGAGCAAAACTGAAACTGCCAAACTTCACAGTTCTGGACTTGACTTCTAACCCCGCATCTAGTGTGATGCCGAAGATCTGCGGAATCCGGATCGTTGGGAACACATGGCCAGAACTCTGTCAAATCACCGCCGATTGACTGCGAAATCGGTTCTCTTCCCCGCATGATACTTTGGTGGAGAAACAGTCGCTCAAGATCAAGAAAGAGGGTGGGCGCCTTCAAGCCCTTGAATCTGGCCCTCCAGACCCTACTCGCCCTTGTGTCACTACCAAAGGAGAATGATATTTGTCGGGGTGTAAGTAACCGCTGGCACGCTGACGAAGGCAGCAATAGCACGGCCTCGTGTTGAAATTTTGTATGTACTTCTTCTCCCTGCTACTGAAGAACAACACCAGTCCTCTGTGGAATTGGAAGGGTCTTCCACGGCTGTCAAAATAAATGGAGCTTGGACCGCGCATGTAGGCTAGAAGCATATTATAACTGTAGTAGTTTGAGGAGTGATAATGGCTCATCCGACGAATTCAGGGTCTTGCGAAGATAGTGACCTCCACATCTTGCTTGCAACATTGATTGGAGAGTGCCCCAATCAGTCATATGCCACCATAATCGCCCATGAGGCTGTCGTTATTGGTCGTAAGGCTCCCGCAATTCATTCAACCAAATTTCTGTGCCCACATATAAAATTGTAGTGATTCCGCCATGTATTATGTGCGTTCACAGGAAAGACATTTTAGCAGAGCGGGTTTGTTCAATGGGCAAAATTATACACCGAACGGGAATCGAACCCGTGCCGCTTGCTCACGGGGAGGCAACCTTGTCGGTTTCCAATCGTGGAAGGCAAGCATGATAACCACTTCACCATCGGTGTGGTTGAAATAGAAGCCGCCCAAGCGCCTATGCTGATGTCGCCTTAGTTTACGTGGCGCTGCTTCTTCGCGCGTCAATTGGGGGCGGCGGTCCCTGATGATACGTAGCGAACTTGGTTCTGGAATAGGCTTAGTTGCCTCATTGCCTTCTGCATCCGATGTGTCGGGGATATACCTTGAAAGTCTTTGCAGAATTTCTGATTCCTGGGTGATCCCTCAGGGTTGGGCCGAGTGCCGATTTCGGGCTTTCCTTCAAGGCACGTACCTTATCTATCTAGGACAAAAGTTTTACGTTGAACCGCTGAACAATCATAAGTTGGAAGATACCAACTGATTCTTGTTGTTGTTATACAGCATATTCTTAGTGAAAATGCCCAATCTCTCTAGCGAAAGGCAGATGTCAGAGGTCAGAGCCCGTCGGAGGGGGTCCATTACGGGCTTCCAAGCAAAGGCAAAACAATTCCAGGCTTAGCTGAGAGGTTCCTGCTGTACCTCATGACACAATCATCAGCGCGGCTTTCCACGTATTAAGCAAGTGGACCAGTGGTTTGGCTCCTCTTGGCTTATGGCGGTGGGTAACATAATCTGGTTGTTCTATCCCCAGAAATCTCGACCGTAATTGACATCTTTCCAAACCAAAGCGGAAGCGGAGAAGCGGACCACAGCAGTGTCATCTACATAGCGAAATCAGCATGAGGATGCCCACATATCACAAAGACTATTTAGTCTAACCAATCTCGGATGAAATTGTTCTTCAGAGCTCACCCTCCCCCTCCCCCTCCCGCCTCCTTCCCCTTTACAATGGCCCCCTATTTGGCCCAATATTCGGCATTGGTTTTTGACCTAGGAGACGTCCTGTTCCAATGGTCTCCGGTCACCAATACGCCTATCTCTCCCAAGGTCCTTCATACTATCATGGGCAACGAGATTTGGTACGCGTACGAGTGTGGACAAATCAGCCAGGAGGAGTGCTATTTTCGTCTTGCAGACCGGTTCTCTCTCAACGCTGAGGACATCCGGGAGGCATTCAATCAGGCGAAGGAATCTCTCACTGCCGACTTTGACCTCGTCAACTTCATTCGTCAGTTGAAGCAGTCCAACCCCCATCTTCGTATCTTTGCCTGCTCCAACGTGTCCCGCCCCGACTTCGAAGCCCTCCGCTTGAAGCCTGCGGACTGGGGAATTTTTGAACGGATTTTCACGTCTGGTGATGTCGGTGAACGGAAACCGAACCTCGGTATCTACAGGCACCTCATTGCTTCCACTGGAATAGACCCTCGCCGGGCTATCTTCGTTGACGACAAATTGGAGAACGTTTTCTCCGCACAATCTCTTGGGTTCCAGGGTATTGTCTTCGACAGCGTGGCAAACGTGAAGCAGACCCTGCTCAACCTTCTGTGTGATCCGGTCGCAAGAGGCTCTGCCTACCTCCAGAGCAATCAAGGGAAGCTCCAATCCGTTCTCGGAAAGACGGAGGAAGATTCCGTCATTCTTCACGAGAATTTTGCCCAATTGCTGATCTTGGAGGCCACCGATAATCCGTATGTCGCTGGATCATTCTTATACGCCCGGTTACCTCTGAACCTTCTTGCCCTAGGTCTCTCGTCCACCTGGTGGAACCAAAGAATGAAACTGGGCTCTGGAATTTCTTCCATGGTATGTCATTGATATTGTTGTTCATCGCAATCGGTGCTGACTGGTCGCGATCAGACCCCAAGCTTCTCTCGAAGGAAGATTTCCCCTACGACCTTGACACCACTTCGATGGCCCACACTGTTCTGAGAAGTGAGAAGAGTGCTGAAGGCGCCACTCGCGTTATGAACGAGATCGTCAAGAATTTAACCAATGACGGTCTTCCTTTGGTTAGTCTCCCAGTCGGCTCCTTCCAGTACCTTTGCATACTCATTGACATTCCTCGTTAAGACATATTTCGATCCACGCAGACCTCGTCTGGATGCTGGCGTGTGTGTCTGCGTTGTCACCATCTTCTACGCTTACGGTAGAGGTTCAGAGGTGTCCAACATGGTTCAATGGATATTCGACATCCTAGTAAACCGAGCCTTTACCAACGGAACCTATTATTACATCTATCCGGAATACTTCCTCTATGCTATCGTCCGCCTCCTCAACTCAACCACCGATCGAGCTCTCCACGCAAAATTCACTCCCATCCTCAAGGAGTGCATTCAAGAACGGATAGGCGTCTCAGGAGACGCTCTCGCTCTCGGCATGCGGATAATCGTCTGCAACCACGTTGGTATCCGGAATGACATCGACATGCGTACAATGCTTAAAATGCAATGCGCCGACGGAAGCTGGGAAATGAGCTGGGTCTACCGCCTCCCATCGAAGAACATCAAGGTCGGAAATCGCGGGCTAGCCACCGCTGTCGCAATCAAGGCCATAGGCACCTTCCCGCGGAAAGAAAAAGAAACCAGAAGGAAGTCTATCCCCGTCTCAGTAATGAAACTGTTCCCTCAGCTCCGTTCTCAAATGTTGGTTTTTCTGCCCATAGCCCTAACATTCCCTCTGACCTTCATCATATCACGACACCTCCAACTCTTTTAAACCACTCCAGCTCCAATGTCACTACCGGTTCCAAGTTTTACCGTCTCTTCTCAGCCATTATGCCAGTCAAAGTCAAGAACGCCAGCTAACGCTCACGACACCACACGGACATAGCTAACGACACCACACGCAACTATATCACATACCCCCAAACTCTACGACCTACTTGTTGTACATCACTTGTACCATACGCTGTGTGTACCCTCCCCTCTCTGTTGTATAATACCTGTAGCATACACTGTTGTACCCTCTATTGCTTTGTACTGCAGCTGTGCCCCGATCTTAGTGTAGTTTCCTATCTCTTTCTCTCCCGTTTGCTGTGGATCACAGCAGCGCTTTGGTACCACTTACTTATAGTCCCCACGTACTGTATGACTTCTAACGAATACTTAACGTAGCACCTCGTAGCACGCATCACACGCCAGTTTCACGACACCAATTCAACGTTATTATCATGTATCTGAGGCGGTATCGATATCGATGGGAACAGCAGATTATGAACTCCCGACTATCGGTCGGGCTTTACTTGATCTCCTATTTCAGCCGCTCCATACTTATGATGAATGAACATAATGGCCCAGGAATTCGTGAAGATTCGTTAAAAAAAAAAAACATGAAAACGTACATAGATATTTAGTAGATGGGTGACGATCGATGTCGACCTCTGTGGGCGCACTCGGAACGTCGGTACCAACACTGGGAGATTGGAATCCATACCCCATCAGAACAGCACACATCACGCGTCATACCCAACGCAACCTTATTAGGTCTTCACCTCCTCCACGGCTACAATTTTCCCGCTATCGTCCATGCGAGCCCTATATAGCATGTCAGCAAGAAAACAAACAGTGAAATAGACATCACGACATACAGAGCTTCGTCTTCGAGATCGGTCTGGTCCTTGACACGCAAATACAGCATCGGCAAAGCCAGCCCAAGTCCGACCACAAGGAGAATCCAGGTGGACAAGAACATGTCCATATACCTATCGCATAATCGTAAGGGGTAAGAATTCCAAGTCGATCATCGATACATACGGAAGTGTTGCTCCATCTAACGCCCATACTGCCGCTGCCCCGGTTGATTGAATGGACTTGTCTGCGTTCATTTTAATCAGGGGAGAACCCTTTTGAGATGTTGGAATACTTACACAGCCCCGTAAAATGCGCGAGCTTGTTAGGATCATTAGACATGGCCCCCATAATCCAGTACGCTGTAATCTGCCACATCGCATCGACGAGACCGAAAAAAAGGTACAAAATGATCCTGGGCGCGTAACCAGGATCCCCGATAGAGAATCGCGCGATGGTATTAGCAGTTCCTTCCGCTGGGCGAGAGTATTGCCTAAACACAGTATTACCATGTGAATAAGATCTGATTTCTGCAAAGAAGGAACCTGGAAGTAACCCACCTCTGATAGAAGAAGGCCCATATGTGCACCGCCCACACAACGGCAAACAAGACAGTCCAGCCTGTAAACGCTCGGAAACGACGACTGAACTTCTTCTGGTCGAGTATCAGACCCATCAAAATGGAGCCCACGATTTGTGCAATCCAGTATACGAGGTTGTTGAGTGATCGGGCCTTGATATCGAATAGAGCACCGTTATAGGCATTAAATTCTGCATGGTCGTCAGTACGCGTTCATACCGCGATGCACACATCACGTACGCCAGGTGTAAAACCAGTTGGAGGCGAAGAACATGGGGAAAAGCATAATGATTAGCGGATCTGTCTTCACGGCAACCCATAGCCCGTAGATTTCGACCTTCCAGGAAGGATGACGCGGAGTCGTGACCTTCGTGCCGTCAGTGCGTATGATCTTATGTGGGTCCACCATGCAGAGTGGGATAAGAACTCCGATCATCGTGAGGATGAGGAAAGCAATCTAAAGCGTCCCAAGGTCAAGGCAGTCAATTAACTAACGAAGAACCCAAGAATGGCCGTATGAGCTCACATAGGTACCATTCCCAACTTTATATATGTCGACCCATCAGCTCGCAGAATATTTCAAACTATGAACAACGAACCTGAGTTTGCCGAGGATTGGAAATTCAAGCCCAAGGAGACCGCAGCACCGACCACGCTACCCAAGTTGAATATTCCCCAGAATATGCTGATGTATTGACCTTTCTGTCCTTCAGTTGGATATGACAACATAATACTTCCTTGCGCTGTCCAAAGAAGACCGGCGCAGATACCCAAGACAGCCCCTGCACCGATGACGAACCCTCCCGAAGTAGGATGTATGTTCATCGTCCTTGTTCACTATGAGTCCACCACGATCTGAAGGTCCCCGAAAGGAGCACGAGCACGTACAAGTATGACCCAATGTAAAGAGCATATCCAGAAGTGCCCAGCAAGAGGGTCAAGCGAGAACCAAGCTTATTGTTGATAGACCTGTTCAATGTCAGAACACGACGACGAGGTAAAA